GATTCTCATCAGCTGCTAGAACGATGTTGTCGTTGTCATTGTCATCTTGGATATCAGATGAATGATTAGTACCCAGAAAGTGATGTCTGACGCTTCCTCGTCTGAATCGCAGATCGGGTACGAGACTGACATAGACGTGATGAATCCCGATTGCTTGTTTATGGTGAACAACGGCTAGACAACAACTGGCTGCTCTGCTAATCGGGCAGAAGAAACAACCACAGGGAAGCAGGAGTTGCTGTTCTTAAACTTTCTGGTGGTCGCGAAATTCCGCAACCATCTGGTGACAAAACAGCAATGCCGACCGGATCTGAGCAAGTTGACGTATCCTGCAGCTCGATCAACCTTCACACCGGAAACTGTCATCAGATTCGCTACTGCAACGGAACAGAATTTACAGTCGTCCGAGCTGCTCTATAAACGAGTGACAAGCAATATCGCAACATCGAGCAGCAAAGACCATCTGTTTCGCAAAGAAGACCAAGACCCTGAAGCTTGGCTAGGAAAGAAATGCGGTGAAACAGGCGCAACCAAAGAGCAGCGATGAGGCCGAACGGTGAAGAATCCACAAGTGTCTCTTCAAAACGGTAAATAAGAGCTACCGCAGAGATCGGCAGCGACTGCTTGAGGCGAAAGTAACGAAAACGGAAAAAGAGGCGAACGCATAGGCCTGGAGAACGGTATACAGAGAGATCATGACTCTAAGCGGCAACGGTGAAAAGAATAAAATGGCCACAAGCGTGCTCCACAATGACAAAGGGGAATTCTTGCCGGACGCTTCCAGTGGTCAAAAACGATGGGATCAAGATTTTTACGTCCTGCTGAACAAACCAAGTCATGCTCCTGAAGACGTCTCGTTTGCTGAGGTTCTCCATCAAGATATAAACGTTATAAGCGCAACTCCAATAACCGAAGAAAATCGGAACGCTGTAAGGCTAAACCGAAGTTCAAAAATAAAGGACAAAAGAGACATGACAGAAACAGTTCGGATCTCTTGAAGTGCGGAGGCACAGACTTGATCGTCTGGACACATAAAGTCTTCAAAAAAATCTAGCAGACAGGCGCGATTCCCGAACATGATAGTGATCATGTCCATTTTCAAGCAGCGCAATCATCCGGCCTGCACTAACTATCGAGGGATCATCCTGCTGTTGGTGCTTGAGAAACTTCAGCGGGCTAAAGATGATGGTGCAGGTGTTGCTGTGAACGAGCCAAAAGGGGTTCCGTACTGGGCACTCAACATTCTCCTTTTCGGCGAATGGTTGAGCAATGCCGCGAGAAATTCAGCGCCTTTGCCACAACCTTTGACCAACCGCCAATGGCTGAATGAACCCTATGTCGGTACAGTATACCAGAGTTCATCAACCTGATGGAAGGACTGTTTAAAGAAACATCTTTATCAATAAGACATGAAGGCCACGTGTCCGACTGGCCAAAAATTTAAAATGGAGTCTGTACTTTCACTGCTCCTGATCAACATCGAGGCTGACTTCCTGATGGAGAAATGTCATTCAGAAAGAAGAACAAGGTCTTACTATCAAATCAAGAAAAAGCTCCATATTCGAGACAATCTACTCGACCGACCTGGAGTACGCGGACGAAATCGTTCCCCTGAGCGATACTGGTAGTGTCATACGAGATGTTAATGACTGGGTGTGCAAACAGGCAACCGATGTGATGCTACTAGTTGACACGGCACGGCGAAGAAGAAGGTTATGAGAACACCAGGTGCGATGAAAGGCGTAGAGATTAAATGGAATGGCTTAACCATGCAAGCAGTCGACCATTTTAAATATCTGGGTTCAGTCATGGTTAACGATGACAACTGTAATCCATATATCAACCGACATAGAGGACTACCAGCACAAACGTTTAGAAAGCTGAACGAGATGTGAAAAAAGGACAGTTTCATTTTAAAAGAAGAGCAACTTGAAAACAATGGTCTTTTCCATACATACGTCTTCTATATAGCCATGAGACAGCTGCGGCACTAGAACACTAAGAAGATCAACTTGGTTCCAACGGCTCTATCTTCGAAACATACCGAACGTCCGGTGGCACCACCGAGTTTTTAATGATCGCATAGTGAGAATCACGGGACTGAAGAAAATGTCTGAAAAACAACGGCATCGGCGGCTGTCATGGCTCAGCAAAATGGCTCATATGAAAAAGGACGATCTGCAGAAGATGTTTCCATCCGAAGAATTGGCACAGAAAATCCAAAGCCAGTTCAAGGACTGTCGTAACATCGCAGAAGCAGATCTGTTGGCGATAAAAACTTTCATGGCACAAGCTAAGGATCATAATAACATGAAAATTCCATCTTGCGCGTCGAACATCATTTGTCTTGGGTTAACTGAACCGCGGCATCGTCCGGAACCCTGGATGACGAGGGCAATAAACCATTGAAACTGCATACTGTATGTCCTTCGTTGATACTATTGAAACAGAGATCAACGCAAATTCCCTGAAAAATGGTGCGATACAGTGCCCACGTTGGAGATGCAAGACACTGACACGCCAATAACCATTCACTTGTCATTAATGCCAGTCGCAGATGGTAAGCTACGATTCAGGCATCATATCTGACTACTGGATGATGCATAGCGGAGTGCAACTGTCCATAATCCGATCAGAAAACATGAATCCCACTTAAGAACCCGGAATAATTGGTTCACGGCTCAGTTTTGCGAGCACAGCCATTTATGGCATACTACGGGAACCCCAAAGAATCAATCAAATAATATTGTGGCTTTGCAATAAGTTTCAACTCGATTCTGGAAGAAAGCAATGAAATTCAGCTGTTCTCGATCAATTTTAAAGTCTTGATTGATGTCAGAAACGTTATATACATGGGCAATACGGGGTTAAAAAATGGGCAGATGATCCTACTTTGCTTCTTTTCAGAGCTAATATATCTGTCACCAAAAATATTATGGAGCATGCTCTTTACATAGATTACCTACTGGCACTGTCGTAACGTAGTTGCTGTCGAAATTGTAGAATAAGGCTTAAAACCCCGAATAACACAGGTGCCTCGATTAAACAAGAAAGGCCCAGTTGAAATCATATATGGTTTGCATTCGCTGTCGCTACAGAACTTCTTCATGCCGTTTTATCGAAAGAAATCACATGAACTGTGGTATGAATTCCTCTAAGCTATTGGCCTTCAGCAGCGCTTCACCGATGACAAGTAGCCACCGGAATTTGAGGATTTCAGCAGGGAGCGTTCTCACAGAAACAATCGAACAGACATTGTTGAAGTTTCAACAGAACAGGTTAAGTCTTCAAGTGTGCCTTAACGATCGTGAGTTTGATCTAGCTCTCATTCTGAAATCTTACTATACTTCAAAACTCGCGTAGGTCCGGTTAATGCAGTAGTTCACTAACGCATTGCAGTGATCAGCACTAACAATTACTCACTCAAAGTACCTAGAAAGTAGTCGATACTCACTGTCACTGGAACATTTCATAGCATCTTCTGATTGCTGATCGCAAGAGCGATCCTATAACCGTTGTCTTCGCTTGAATTGGCTGATAATAAGTCAGTCGATACCAGTTCGTCTAACGTCTTTGAATGAGGATAGGACCTTCACTGTGATCAGCGATTTTAATGAGCATTGCACGATTCAATACACCATGACACCGAATAACAGAAAAGGGAACAACCGGACTTGATGTACTTATTCTCAGGCACTATACAATCTTCTGACAGTGATCCCGCTCTGAAGAATTATTCTGCGCCTGTATACAAACCATTCATCAGCTTTACCACCATCGGCACTTGAAATTTTGCATTAATAATGTGGAAACACCACCGTCTTGAAAGTAGCTGACTCAAAGACTGACACAAATGAAAGATTCGATCTCTTTTAGTCATCAAAACGGTTAGCCATGTGAACACCTTGTCCGTAAGAGACAGAAGGATGATTTCTCGGCAGTTTATGTCAGAATAATCTTGAAAATTTGCATGAACCCGTCTTTCCTCAATCTTCACATGAAATGAACATCTGCTATACGTTTCCAAAAATATGACGGATTTACACAAGAGAGCCTTAAGTCTTGGAATACACGATTTCGCACCGATACTGTCTATTCAGTGGAGCTTAGGACAGCATGAAAGTCGTATGCTTCCCGAATTTCTTTAGTCAGCGACTAGGCATAATTCCCGTCTAAACTTAGAGCTTGGAGGTAACAATCCATTCGGAGAGAAGAAAAATTTTATATTTACCTTTCTGCGACTTTAGTTCCGTTCCATTTTCTAAATGAACGGCAGAACCACTGGAAAACACGCGCAGAAACTGCATGGTCTGGCACCCGAATGACACAATCGCAGGTGACCTTACACATCTCCAAAGCGCCATACACTGAAATAAGGTATCCGCCTCTAAAAGCTGAAAAAAAACGTTTCGTTAACGGGCACTATAACAATATACAGAGGAGCACAATACGCGAATATGAAACAGAGTACAAGACGTACTTAACAGCAAGCACGCACGGGAAAGAATGATAATATTGCAGTATCTATAAAAATGTATATCAGTCGTAGCTGAACAATTCATACCTTAAGAAGAATCTCCTACCAAATAATTTGGCAGCTGATTCGCAATGCAGATTACCAGATTGTACATAAAACAGTTTTACCGATTCATTAAGCCAGCGTACATGAACAAGCTTGTACATCGACTTATTATCTAAATGAATATCATTTATGCCATATTTGGTAGGTTGTTAGACAGCGCCTGCAAACTCTCAAAACGCCATGAAGCTGAATGACAGACATTTCAAAAGAGAAACCGATTTCTAACAGGTCTATAAGGACGCGGTAAACATCTGCTGAAAACAAAATGATTACTGTCTACGCAATTCCGTTCTTTTTGCAGTGAAACTTTTGCTGTTTTTTGTGTGCATCTTTAGTGTATCATATTTTTATATTAACTGAAAGTGAAATATCTGAGTTTCTAAAAAATACATTCTAGTCAACTTCAGTACTACATAAGAAACTTTTCATTCACCAAAAAATAATATTTCATCATCATCATCATCATCATCTTCCATCGCCGCTTCTCCTTTCGGGTCGCGGTAAAACCGTTGCCGGTCCCAAGCCCGGATGAGAAAGGAGGAGGGTTGGAGACCGTGGCAAGTCTCCGTAAAATTC